TAGTTGCCTTTTTATAAAAAAATAACTCTCTTGTATTACTGAAAGAGCCAATAATTTTCAAATAGTATTTTGTAATACAATCCTTTTTTGTGAAGGAGTCACAATCATATTATCTCCAAATGTTTATCAAAGAAATGCTGATAATTCTAGGCAGTAAATGATAAAAATATGACAAAATAGCTTTATCTATGACAGTTCATGGAACTACAATTCAGCTTTGCCTGCTGATCGCACAATATTATTAGGCTGGACTGCCAAAAACAATATAATCCAACCCAAAACTAACTAAAATCCAAACAAAGACAACCTATCAAAAGAAGGTTTAGATTACTATTTTTTATTTTTATTTTTTTAGGATAGTCTTTAACTTGGATTTGGTTGTATTATTGTTTAAGGGTTGAGGTTTTAGAGACTTTAGGGACAGAATTATTAGGGCGCGGATTTGAGGATTTGGTATTAATAGGCCTTATACATGAGCCCTTTATACTGCAAATAAAAAAATATAATTACCTCCAGTTGGGCAATTCTCATGTTAATCCGTGACAATAAGTATCAATCCGAGTTTTATCACTATTGAAATAGCAGTAGCAATTGCGATATTAATAGCAACATTTATATTATTTTTACAGCATAAAAAAATTTCTTTTCTTGGATTTGCAAGGAATTTTTACTGTATTTCCCCTGCATCATGATGCTACAAACCATAAAAAAAGCTAATATTCTAATCAAAAGTTATAATGATAATTTAGAATATGTATTACTACACTGATATACATATATGGAAAAGTTGATCAGTTAAAAATCGAATATCGATATTTTTAATAATTTAATAAAATACATAAAACTATTGATTATCACAGTTTAGCTAGTTCAAGCAAAATTTTTTGTAATATAAATTGAATCATTTGCTATAAAATTAAAACATATTCTGACAATTGATCATATCTTAATCATATATAGGAATTAATAGAGAAATTTTTCAGGTTCTGGCTTTGTTAATTAATACATTTTTTGTGCTTTAAGACTCCAGATTGATTGAACATAATATTTCATTCCATTCATAACAACATTATATTTGGCTCCATTTGAGCTTGTTAAAAGATTAAAAAAATTATTTTGACATAGATCACCAATCTCATCACCATTATTTGCTACCCAACCTGAACCTTGACCGGAATCAGTAATAGCTTCTGCTATTTCATGAAAAAGAGTCTTAACCATATTATCAATATGGGAATCTCCATTAAGATCATGATCTTGTGGTTGACAATTGTTGATAGGTATTAATTTCTTGCAAATACTAACAGTAATGATGGTGTATTCCTCTTTGCTCACTAAAGATTTTGCTCGTTCGTAAAAGCCGCAAGTTCCTTTATTACAATCTTCATGTAAGTTAAATAAATCATTTTCTACATCACACAAGAAGCTTGGACATGCAGGGTTATTATCAATATTAGAAGAAGAAAGTAGGAGGATGTAAATATTGTTAGGCGTGTTAGCTATATATTTATCAGGGTTTTCAAAATTGTAGGCATTCAATGCTTGCGCAACCACTGTAAAATATTATTTATGAGTGAATTTAGTGAATTTACGATAATATTGAAGGATATTTTGTTTCATTACAATCTGCTCTTGATGTAGTATCCTCAATGCTAACAGGAATTATTTGATCAATAATACTGGCTGGATTTCCAATTTGGCTATCAATCGAGATGACGCATTTAATGGTATTCATGTATTTTTTACCACCATTTTGAATCATATAGTATTCCTTTAAGACATTAAATAAACTACTGGTGGATAAATTATCAACAAAATTTTCATTAACTTTCCGAGCTTGAGGCGTCCATTCTTTTAAATTACTATAATAGATAAAATAAAGGTTGGCATTTGTTATAACATCTCCACCATAATACATAGGTACTTGGGCAAAAATAGAGCTGATGAGAATAAAAAATATGATTTTTTTGATAATTACCATAATTATGAACTTTACGAAAAAAAGGTTCGATAATTGCAGAACTCTGAAGTGTGAGATGAAAAAAAAGATTATATTTATACAATTTATTTGGTAAATCAAGCTTTCATTGCAATCTGTTACTACCATATTTTGAACTTATTAATAAATATAATTATAGCTAAATAATGTCTGACAAAATTTTTAAAGAAAATTTTTTAAATAGTTTAACGACAAACAAATCTTTAAATATACATATATTATTTATATCGGCCACAGAATTAATATTACATCTACTAGAGGTGTACCAAAAAATAATGAATATGTTCTGTGCGATTTTTTAA